GATCCTTCAGCTCAACAGTCAACGAATTATTCCGTCTGAATAACTTACCACAAATTAAATTTCCCTGGGCAACGCCATCCGCCCGAATATTCAAAATCGTCACCGCTACTGAGGCTACCATCTTCATTCCGTCAACAAGAAACACTTCCCAATGAAAATCTTACAGTATAATCCTCACCTGCCTCTCCAGGCCTGCCATCAGAAGAAATTCTGTAAACATCTCAAAGCATCATTCTCCAGCCAACATCCTCTACTCTCAGCAACATTTGAAGACCCCCCAACCCCACCTGAAGAAGGAACGAGAACTTATTCATTGTCCAGTTCTACACAAACCACTTGACCAGCTGAGCTGTGGTACGTACGTTCGATTCCGTGCGGCCAGCAGTAACAGCCTGGCCTGATCATAGACCGGGCCGCGGGGGTGTTGGCCCCCGGATCACCCTCCAGGTAGACTTGGGATTACATCATTGAATCATGCAATACTTACTCTCCCCAACACTGAACTGAACTACTAACATTTATTTGAAATCCTACATGACAGAGAACCTTCATTATATTCTGTGATCGCATTAACGTACACTAAAGTAAACTCTGTCTCTTTACTCCCTACCAAGAGTGGACTAGGCCACTCAGATTTTTCCTACCTTTCCTATTATTTACCCCATATCCCTTTTCCAAATGCTTCATCCTTCCCCAGTCCTCCCTTACCTCCAAGTCTTCCCTTTCCCTAACTCTTGCCATTAACTTTAGAATAACATGGACAAAAAATTACCATCATAGAAATGTGTTTGTCAGTAGAAAATAAATAAGTTTGGCATAGGTTACACAGAAAACTGTTTAGAGAATTCATAGAAAACGTTTGAAATTGTTCTCTGTTACAGACTAACTAATATTAAGATTCCTAATACCACCTTAAGTAATTAACTTTTTATTTAGATTTCAACGATAATCCTTTATACTTTTTATAGTGACTTGAGGGCACACAAGAGTTACTGGTGTACATGACATTAATTTAGGGAATAAGATCAATTTTACCCCTTGGTGGCCTGGTGGCTAAAGCTCCCGCTTCACACACGGAGGGCCCTGGTTCGATTCCCGGCGAGTGGAAACATTTCGACACGTTTGCTTACACCTGTTGTCCTGTTCACCTAGCAGCCGTGCTCCCCTTTCTTTATATTTGACTGGCTCCTCCTCCTTAGTTCCCCACTACTACCACTACTACTACTACTACCACCACCACTACTACTACCACCACTACTACTACCACCAGTACTACTACTACTACTACTACTACCACCACCACCACTACCTCTTCCTGCCTATATATAGCCGTCCTGCTCCACTTCTGATTAGTGTGATTTTGTAAATGGTCCAAGTCGGACCGAAACGTCGTCGTAAGCTCCTCTCTTCTATGTGCGGGTTATTTGTGTAAGGTACCTGGGTGTTAGTCGACTGGTGTGAGTCGCATCCTGGGGGACAAGATTAAGAACCCCAATGGAAATAAGTTAGACAGTCCTCGATGACGCACTGACTTTCTTGGGTTATCCTGAGTGGCTAACCCTCCGGGGTTAAAAATCCGAACGAAATCTTATCAGTATTGTGTGTATTTGTGGCATGCAAAGAGTACGTAACCTTTATTCGGCGCATGTACACATCCTCATTTACAGGCTATCTCCCCCAACCAGCGAACCAGGTTGCTAAGAGTTGATGATGGGGCCCCGTCGTTCAACTAGTGACCAGGTTCTAGCCAATAAGAAGATGGTTTTGGCAATCGCAGAGGTTATGTGGGTACCGCTCTCCTGTCTGCCTTGTCATTCCCATTCTAGAGCTGGTTGAAGCACGGTCTGCTATCTTGTGGCTTCTATTTCTGCCTTGCTTACCGTGGAGTGCACTATACTTATCACTGTACATAGTGTACATATTGCTGTTATAAATTGGTGAAGGATAATATAAGTCTAAACTTTTTATACTGTGTTTATTTGCTCCCATTACACCCGGGGTAACAGGCCATTTGGAATCCTGGGTTGTAATAGTATTGCAACTATTGTATGGTTGTATATTTTTCACTAAAACCACAGGTAGTGACTGGTGAGGTGTATTACAGGATTTAATCTTATTTATTTTATTTTTCGTCAGATTTCATACATTTTTGTAAAATCAGGTATTGATGGAAAAAAACTGGAGAAATTTTGGCAACAAATAAATGAATTAAAAATATAATAAGAAAAAATTGATTTGGCAACACTCTTGGCCAAATTGGTCAGGTCAAAATTATTTTGATCAGTCTCTATAAATAAAGCAACGTTCAATTGATGTCTGGACGAATGCCCACATTAATGTTAAATGTCAATGGCCATACCTCGTTGAATGCACCATTTCTCGTCTGATCAGCGAATCTAAGCAACGTTGGGTTTGGTTAGTGCTTGGATGGGTGACCGACTGGAAACACCAAATACTGTTTGTATCAATCTTTACGGTGGCCCGTGGCCTGGTAGGCAACGCCCTCGTTACACTGAGTATCTGTGGTTCGATCCCCGGCAAGGGGGAAAACATTGAGCGTGTTTCCTTATACCTGTTGTCCCATTCACCCAGCAAGCATCCTGGGGGTCAAGACTGAGGACCCCAATGTGAATCAGACAAGTGGCTAACCCTCTGGGGTTAAAAAAAAATTCGATCAATATTTTATCTTGATTTACCTCAAGTTTCATCGACCTCCCAAAAAAACGAAGTTAGTAAATTTTTACAAAAAAATATTTGCAATATGCAGCCGCCCATAAATGAAAAAAAAAAATTCGGGGCTCTTAGCATTTTTGAGGGGGATTGTAAAACAATAATTGTGTTGTTGAATGCTTACTGTCAAAATCTTTTCGTTAATAGGTTTATTAAGGTATGCACAAATAGTTACATAGATTATTATACATAGCAGTATATGATGTAGGTCTGCATATAGGTCAGTAATTTACTTTCCAGAAATTTAAAAAAAAAGATCGACACCATGCCCAGCCCTTCTAGGGCAGGGTAGGTACCTGAGCCAGAGCTTACAGCTCACATGACTGTCATTCCCATTAGCCCCCTTGGGGCGGGGATGGCAGACCAGAGAGGCCTAGCTTCTCCCTACGAGCCCCGTGAGGGCGGGGAATGTGTCTAGGCCTGGGGACAGTTGGTCCCAAAGATTAAGGGGTCCTTGTACTTCCTCCCATGGGAGATTTAGGTCTCAGACATTTCCTAGACAGGGAGCCAAGGCCGGGCCACCACTTGGAAAAGGCCCGGGCCGGGAGAATACCGGTGAATCTTTAATAATAATAATTAAAAAAAAAGACAGTAGGCCAATAACTTTTAGAGCAAATATTTGCCATTTGAGAGCGACTGAAGGCAATTTATGCATTAAAGCATGTGAAAGGAGTGTCGTTCTACAATTCTTCTGTAGTTTACCCCCTGAGTAATGATAACATTTTCTTTAGTAATGATAGATCAGAGAGAACGTTATATAATAATCATCAGTGTAACTCCGCTACCTCACCTCAATATTATGTCTATTTATTGGTGTATGATAATAATAATATAATAATAATAATAATAATAATATCTTTACTTCTACAGGTACATGTACAAGATATACAGACCATAGCTGACATCAGTGACATACTACTATATAGAAAGCCGCTTGTTATGCTGAGCATTTCGGGCAAATTAGGTCAGTTATCTCCCAGGATGCGACCCACACCAGTACACTAACACCCAGGTACCCATTTTACTGATGGGTGAACATGGACAACCAGTGTAAGGAAACGCCCAGTGTTTCAACCCCTTTGCCGGGAATCGAACCCGGACCCTCACCGTGTGAAGCGAGACCTTTTGCCACCAGGCCACAAAAGATTTATGTATCGACCAGGAATCGAACCCGGGGTATGATAAGATATTGTTCCAATTTTTAACCCCGGAGGGTTAGCAACCCAAGGTAACCCAAGAAAGGCAGTGTGTCATCGAGGGACTGTCTGTTATTTCCACTGGGGCCCTAAAACTTGTCCACCAAGATGCGACTACACCAGTCGACTAACACCCAGGTACCTACTTGCTTGCTAGGTGAACGGGTAACAGGTATAAGGAAACACGCCCAATGTTTACATCCTTGCCGGGGATCGATCCACGAACACTCAGCGTGTAAAGCGAGTGTTACCTACCAGGCCATGGGGCACCATGGCCTGCTAGGCAACGTCCCTCTTCACCTAGCAGTAAGTAGGTACCTGGATGCTAGGCGACTGGTGTGTGTCACAACCTAGGGGAGAGGATTAAATTACCGCAGTGGAAATAATTATTATAATCACGGGGGAGCGCTAAACCCATAGGATTATACAGCGCATAGGGGGGGTGGAAGGTATTCAGCCTCAATTCAGGGAACCGGAGCACAGATCCAATTCCCTAGATCAAGAGCCCTTCACCAGCGTCAAGGAACGTCCCTTGAGGGGCAATGGAAATAAGCCAGGCAGTGTAATGACAAGGCTTTATTGGCTTATCCCAGTTTATTAAACCGAATTAAATGTTCTCGAACCCAATTAATCCGAGAGAACCCGGATCAAATCATGAGCTGTTGGTTATGGGCATGTCTCTTAACAAATACTACTCTTGCTCTCCTACAGGTAAATATGTACCTAGAAGATAGTCGATCATTATTGGTTGTGTCATGAGGGTAGCGTCTCCAAAAAAAAAAAAAAAAAAAAAAAAAAAAAAAAAAAAAAAAAAAAAAAATTCAATGGAAATAAGCCACTCGACTTGGCTTTATTTGATTATCCTGATTCACAATAATCTGGATAGTCTGAATACTGGGGTTTATTTTCATTGGGGGGGGCGTATTTTACACCCTCCCATGGGATGTGATTGGTAAAGGAATTTACTTGTGTCAGAGGACTGGCCCGTATCTCTCTCTCTCTCTCTCTCTCTCTCTCTCTCTCTCTCTCTCTCTCTCTCTCTCTCTCTCTCTCTCTCTGAATAAAATGAACAGTTCACTGTAAGTTTTTATTAATCGACAGCATTCATATATTTTTGTTCTTCGTGGTTGACTTGCTGTGGACGCTCGGTCGCAGCCGCTACCCATCCACTGCCAGCCACCTTCCTCAGTGCCTGAAGCATTAATAGTAGTAGTAGTAGTTGTTGTTGTTGTTGTTATTTTATTATTAGTAGTAGTAGTAGTATTCGTGGGGGGCAGCGATAAATCCGAAAGTGAATGGGAGATAATTAGGTTTGATCCGATAATTAGGTTTGATCCATTTTCTTGGATCAACCACCATCTTTGTATTGTCTCTTCCATTAAGTAAGATGACAAAATTTTTACATATACAAGTTTCTCTCTCTCTCTCTCTCTCTCTCTCTCCCCTCTCTCTCTCTCTCTCTCTCTCTCTGTTATCTCCCGTTATCTCTCACTATGGGTAAATAGAAAAAAATACTCACCTGTTTTTCCCATAAAACTCTCACATATCTCTTAAATATAATTTACTCCTGATTGTACAAGTTCATATGTATGAGTGCTCTCTTATGACGTGTATGTATGTATGAACATATTAAAAGTGTACCTGTATACATGCATTTGTATGCCCTTGTATGTGTGCGCGTTCGTGTGTACATTCCCGTATATGTGGTGTGTTCGTGCGTTTAGGTGTTTACATGAATGTGTGTGTGTACTCACCTAGTTGTGGTTGCAGGGGTCGATTCATAGCTCCTGGCCCCGCCTCTTCACTGGCCGCTACTGTGTGTGTGTGTGTGTGTGTGTGTGTACTCACCAGGCTCGTGTAGCCGGGACTTAGGTTCTGACCCTCCTAAGTCTGCCGTCACTCCTAGCTCTGTTTATCAATAGATTACTTGAGTAATAGCAACTCCAGCTCTGCTGAAATGAAACCTTGAAACAAAATGCTCAATAAATCTAAAAACTGTCCCATACACACTCTATCTATGTATGTATAATGTTGCAAATGAGGCTTTTTCATAGTAAGGACCTATAATTGACCTTTGTATAGAAAAACACGACAGTATTTACCTTGTAAAGTAAAAGGACACAAGTGCAACTAATGTGACATTTTATTGTGGCAACGTTTCGCTCTCCAGGAGCTTTACCAAGCCATTACAAACAATAGCAAAGCAAAGCAAACAAGTTTAGGTAAGATCCCAATGGGATGAGCGGGTAAGACGGGACAGATGAAGAATAGCTCTGGAGAGGAGTGTTCTTAGTAAGAGAAATAGAGCCAGGGCTTAACCCAGCAGCTAAGGCGATCGTGGGGCAGACTTGAGAACAGGAATAGCAGGGACTGTTGCATTGAACTTGTTGTAGTTGAAGTCTTGAATCTTGAGTAGCTGGCAGCAGGCTAGGTCACATCAGAGGGTAGAACACATATGGGAGTTATAGGAGTAACTGAGGAGGCAGGTTAGCAATGGAGCCATTTTCAAACTTTTTGAAGCTGCTTCTAGATAGGTGGTATAATTTAGCCTTGTTGCTGAAGGTGAAACGTAGAGGCTTGATGAACTCAAGAACTTGGGTGAGTGTGAAGTGAAGCGGTGATTCACAATGCATACTTGACTGTTCCAGCACCGAGGCTTTTGTAGAGTTCAGTACGGTCATGGTGTCAGTATTTGAAGGAGAAGTGTAAAAGGTAAGGTTTTCCCATGAGGGTTATGGGTCGTCGTTATCTTCCTCTTCTGGAGTGGATTCACTGGGAGAATCTACAATGGTGGTAGCAGGTGACTGAGGTTCGACAGGAGCAGCTGTGAGGTGTAATGGTTGTGTAAACAGCAGGCTGGGAGAGGTGGGAGGCGGTGGTTGAGGCAACTTGATCAACGTTGTCAGCGGTGGAAGTGGTTATAGAAGTTACAGGAGCAGTTGCTTGGGCAGGAGACAGGTCTGTAGGTGCAGTAAAGTTAGGACGTTGGGAAGGATCTTGGGGATGTCTTCTGAAGGTGTGGATTCCGGAAAATTGAAGGCAGGCATTGTTGTTCAGACGGAATAGTTCGTTAATAGTGGTGTTGAAAGTGCCGGGGCTTGCTGCGTTTGCAAGGTTGCATACACCATGCAGTACAGCACCTTGGAAGGGCACGTGGGAATGGAGATTAGGATTGTGGGATCCGTAATTAGGTGTTGAGCATTTTCTTGGATGCGACATCTTTGTATTGTTATTCACTTTAGTAAGATGTTCAAAATTTATTTCATAACAAGTTTCTTCTCTCTGCTTCTCTCTCTCTTATTACCCTTCTTTCATGTTTCTCGTTTTCACTATGGTGAATGAAAAAATTCCTCTTTTTTGAACAAAAATCTCATATTCTTAATATATTTGTCTGCTGATTGTACAGTTCATAGTGTATGGTGCTTCTTATGACTGTATGTTGAGTGAACATATTAAATAGTGTACCTGTAATACATGCATTGTATGCCACTTGGAGTGTGCGGTTGTTTACTTTCCCGATTATGTGGTGTTCGGCGTTTTGGTGTTGTTACTGAAGGTTGTTGTTACTCACTAGATGTGTGTTGCAGGGGTCGATTTTCAAGTCTTGCCGCCGCTTTCACTGGCGTACTGTGTGATGTGTGTGTGATTGTGTGTGTACTCGAGGTGTGTAGCCGGATTAGAGTGTCATTACCTCCTAAGTGCTTGCCGTGTCATCTATGCACACATGATCTTATCAAGATGACTTGACGTAAATTTGACCGCAGCATCGCTAATGAAACCTGATACAAAAGCTAACTATCAGAGTCATTAATTGCATACACATTCTACAGTATGATAATGTTGCAAGATTCGAAAGACCTATAATTGATTGTAAAAGAACACACGTATTTACCATATTAAATAACGGACACCCGAAGGCATAAGAGGCTTTATTGTGGCAACGTTGATCGGCTTCTCAGGAGCACCAAAGCGACGATACAAACAATACATGGACACAGGGTATATATAGGCTCTGAGTGAGGTGCAATACTAGTGGTGGTGGTAGTAGTAGTAGTAGTAGTAGTGACCTAAGTTGTAGTAGTAGTAGTATACAACATGGTAAAGCAATTAATTCGTACATGAGTAAAAGGATATAAAAGCTATTACTTGGGTAACATAAAAATAGGTTTCACAGCTATCGCAACAGACACAACTTCCTACAAGATTGCCTGGCAGAGATGATCCCTAAGTCTACTCCTGCACAACTCTCCAACTCCAAGCACCCCTTCTCTCCAGCTACCCAAGCTTACTTAACTGAATGTGCCGAAGAACTTTCTAACATCGCTAAGAAAACCTTTGAAACTGCAAGGAATATGGGGGCCAATCTTCAGATTAACCAACACACCGCTGAGCATATTCTCAGCACAGTCACCACAGCTAACCTCCAACAGAAGATAAAACTCAATCTCAAACTTCAGTACCTCTGCACTAACAGTCGATGGAAGGAAATGGGACGCGAATCTCTGATAAACAACTTGTCGCCACGCACCTTAACTGACTACGAGAAACAAGCACTGAGTCTGGGACTCAAATTTACCACCAACATACGCAAACCTAACTATCAACTCAATCTAGTTACCAGGAACCATAGACACAGTGACAGCAACTTCCAGAAGGGTTATATACAGGCCTTCTCACTGCAGCTTTAATGTGAATTTTCTTCTTCTAATCTTTCTAGACGATACATCACTGCCCTTAAGGACCTCGCCAACGACCCCAACATTATCGTCACCACCGCCGACAAAGGAGGTGGAGTCGTCATACTCAACACCAGTGACTACAACACTAAAATGATGGACCTTTTGAATGATCAATCTACATACGAACCCATCAGCACTCAACAGTGGGAGACGCTCACCAAAGATTTTCTACAAAACCAGACAAATTCTCAAACGCACTAGAGAAGGGAAGAAACTTCTGTACTTGTTACCAAGCAACCCTAAACCAGCACACATGTATGGTTTACCCAAGACCCATAAACACAATATTCCTCTCAGACCAATCACGTCAGGAATAGGCAGTGCTCCACACAAACTAGCCGGAGTTCTTGCCAAGCATCTTTCCTGCCTTCTGGGGACCATCAGCCCCGTTCATCTTAAACACTCAGGCGACCTTCTCAACCGCATCCGAAACCCTCTCCTATCCGTAAGCAGAACTAAGCAGTTTGGACTTGACTTCTCCTTCACAAAAGTCCTGACCACAAAAGCCCTCGTGGTTCTATACGTAAATCATCAGGACTTAATCTTCCTCTACCTCCCGGAGATTTGATGACTTATTGAACCTCGTGTATTCCAACTGTTTTCTTTCAATAACAAGCTAAAAAACCTATGCATGGATTGGGGTCTCCCATCTGCCGTACCTACCAACTTAACATGAACCACCTAGGTCCGAACACTTCGCCAAATCATACCTTCAAGGTCACTTGGTTACGTTACGTGGACGATTCGTCTCTTAATTAACTCCCTAATTCAAGTTTTGCATGTATGCGGAATCCTTCATGGCAAGGCTTCAACGCAAGGTTGAACTACGCGCGATCCAGTTTTACATCTAGAAGAAGGTCTCATTGACAAGTCCCTACCTTTCCTCGACGTCCTCATTCACAAAGTAGACAAACAACAACCTAAGATTTCAAGTTTATCGGAAACCTACCAATAAAAATGATCTCACACACTTCTATTCCAGTCAAGATACCAAGACCAAAAGAGGCATCATCATCGGGTTTTTCCTAAGAGCATACCGAATTTGTAGTCCTGAGTTTCTTGACGAGGAATGTACATATTTACCAAACATTCACGGAGTTACATTTTCCTTCCTTTTTCATCAAAGACTGCAAGAAAAGAGCTCTTCAGATCATTCTCCACGCACCAACACCACTCCCAACAAAGTTATAATTCTTCCCAACAGCCAGGTTGCACTGAACGTCTCAAAAGTACTTTCACAAGCTAACACCAGAGTCGCCATCGCTTCTAGCACTTCAATAAAGGATCTAACCAGGACAAAATCAAAGCACCACGAACCAGTCAACGCAGGAGTTTACACTATACCCTGTAGAGGCTGTGACAAGATTTACGTAGGTGAAACAGCAAGAAACCTCGACACCCGCCTCAATGAACACAATTGCGCCTGTAGGAACGATAACTTGAACAACGCCTGTGTACAACACCGAAATTCCACCAATCATTTTATGAAATTCAGGGACGCCCAATTAGTGATCAAAGAAACTAATTTCCGCAGACGCAAGTGCCTTGGATCAGCACTGGTCGCTGTTTCGAATACAATTAAACAAAACAACGGCAGCTTCACCATCTCTGAAGTCTTAGCAAGAATCCTCCTGAAAACAGTAAACCCTGCCATCACATAGTCTCTCCTGTTATACTACACAAAGCACATTACAGAGAGTGAACACTGAAACAAGCTGCCTCTATCCAGTCTATATTTGTCCAACCTATTTTTATGTTACCCAAGTAATAGCTTTTATATCCTTTTACTCATGTGCAAATTAATTGTTCTACCATATTGTATTACTACTACTACTACAACTTATGTCACTACTACTACTACTACCACTAGTATTGCACCTCACTCTGAGCCTATATATACCCTCTGTGTCCATGTATTGTTTGTAATGGCTTGATAAAGCTCCTGGAGAGCGAAACGTTGCCACAATAAAATGTCACATTAGTTGCACTTGTGTCCTTTTACTTTACATAATGTCGGTAATTCTACCAACTTTATTACAGTATTTACCTTAGCAATAACACTAGCTCTCGTAGTTACTAAATAAGAAGCTGAATTCGTGAAGGTATCTTCGTGTTTACCTGGAGTTTACCTGGAGAGAGTTCAGGGGGTCAACGACCCCGAGGCCCGGTCTGCGACCAGGCCTCATGGTGGATCAGGGCCTGATCAACCAGGTTGTTACTGCTGGCTGCACGCAATCCAACGTACGAGCCACAGCCCGGCTGGTCAGGTACCGACTTTAGGTGCTTGTTCAGTGCCTGCATGAAGACAGCCAGGGGTCTATTGGTAATCCCCATTATGTATGCTGGGAGGCAGTTGAACAGTCTTGGGCCCCTGACACTTATTGTGTAGTCTCTTAACGTGTTAGTGACACCCCTGCTTTTCATTGGGGGGATGTTGCATCGTCTGCCGAAGTCTTTTGCTTTCGTAGAGAGTGTCTTCCTTAAGTCTGCCAGTTCGTAGACACACAGGGTGATGGAAGGAGACTTACCTGAAAGGGGATACTCTTAGTGTCTGGTGGTAGCGGTGCTGGGTCAGGCAGTCTGTGATAGACTCCGTGGGGCCTCAGGTGGTACAGGAGGTACTCCAGCTGGTACATCAGGTGGCTGTCCACGTAGTGGAAGGCCACGGCAGAGTCCGAACAGCAGTTAAGTCCCTGAGGACAGATTAACAAGCTAAATTAGCAAGCCTAGCCAACAAATTCCAGATTATTCAACATATTACCAGAAGATCAGAAACACTGCTGGGACAATTGAAGAAGTTTTCAACAGGAAACTGGACAAGTATCTTCAACAGACGCCAGAACAACCAGGCTGTGGTGGATATGTGGGTCAGACGACCAGCAGCAGCAACAGCCTGATTAGCCATGCAAAGTCAACCGGGCTACTCTCAGAACTCATAAAAAGTAGATCAATAGGAAGCCTACTCCTGATGACGCACTTTCATCACCGGATGTATGCATTAATTTTTACACATTGGAACTTTATAAATATTTACTTTAATATGCTTTGGAAAAATGACGTTCAGAAGTTCGAAATGTCAAGTTCAGAACGGCAGATGTTTCGCCCTTAGACACCCGTCGAAGAGTCATCACTTGTCAACTCGACCACGTCAGTAGATTTCCAGAGTCGATTATTACAAAAAAAAATAAGTTACGAAATATTCAGATCGTTAGTAACTAGTTACTTAACATTTAACCTGGACCAGTCGCCGGGAAATTTCTTTGCAAAAGCAAGGTTGTTTAAGACTCTGAAAGGCATCTCAGCTACATATCATCATCTCAGTTTAAGATTCGAAAAATCCACATTTTTCATAGACTCAGTGATTTCTTAGCTCAAACTGACAGTGTGCCAGGGGGCGTTGATCCCCGGAATTCCCTCAAGGTAGATATCCTTAGTATCACCTCCCTTACCACATATAGCGTCATTAGACCTGCGCTGGTAGTAGTAGTAGTAGTAGTAGTATAATAGTAACAGTAATAGTAGTAATAGTAGCAACAGTAGTTTTAGTAATTTACATGGAGTTTACCTGGAGAGGGTTTCGGGGGTCAACGCCCCCGTGGCCCGGTCTGAGACCAGGCCTCATGGTGGATCAGGGTCTGATCAACCAGGCTGTTACTGCTGGCCGCACGCAAGCTGACATACGAACCATAGCCCGGTTGGTCAGGTACTGACTTTAGTTGCCTGTCCCGTGCCTTCTTGAAGACAGCAGGGGGTCTATTGGTAATCCCCCTTATGTATGCTGGGAGGCAATTGAACAGTCTTGGGCCCCGGACACTTATTGTGTTGTCTCTCAGTGTACCTGTGGCGCCCCTGCTTTTCATCGGGGGAATGTTGCATCTCCTGCCGAGTCTTTTGCTTTCATATGGAGTGATTTTCGTGTGCAAGTTTGGTACCAATCCCTCCAGAACCTTCCAAGTGTATATTATCATGTATCTCTCTTGCCTGCATTCGAGAGAATACAGACCAAGCACCTTCAACCGTTCCCAGTAGCTTAGGTGCCTTATCGCACTTATGTGTGCCGTCATTAATTGCCTCTTCAAAGTCTTGTGGAGTTAGAATAATATCCGAGATTTTTGAGATGACCAAATTTTGGCTTTCGTTTATAAAGAATTCATTTGGATTGTCGACCCACAGAGTGGGCAGCGGCTCGCTGAACACTGAGTCATATTGGGACTTTAGTATCTCACCCATTTCTTGGCTATCATCTGTGTATGTCCCATCCCGCCTAATCAGGGGCCCAATACTGGATGTTGTTTTTCCCTTATATTTTGCATAAGAGAAGAAGTATTTTGGATTTTTTTTCAATTTCCTTTATGGCTTTTATTTCTTCCTGTGATTGTCTCCTATAAGATTCCTTCAGCTTAAGTTCGATATTTGCAATTTCTTTGACTAGTGCCTCCCTTTGTATTTCAGATATATTGACCCCACTCAGCAGCTCTGTGACTCTTCGCCTTCGTCTGTATAGGGAACGTCTCTCTCTTTCTAGTTTACATCTTCTCTTTCTTTTTCTTAATGGAATGTGTCTTGAGCAGATCTTAAGAACCACAGAATTCTTTTTTTCAAGACAAATGTTCGGATCCGTGTTGTTTAGGATATCTTCCCAGCTTGTTTCATTTAGGACATCTTTTACTTGATCCCATTGTATGTTTTTGTTATTGAAATTGAATTTCGTGAAGAGACCTTCATGACTGCTCACATTTTGCTGGTCCGGAGCCCTGTTCATACGTAACTGTACTTCTATTATGTTGTGATAGGAGTGAATTGTATTTGATACAGTTATATTACATATTAAATCGTCATTGTAACTAGTAACAGTAGTTTTAGTAGTAGTACAGTAGTAGCAGTAATAGTAATAGTAGCAGTAGTAGTAGAGGTAGTAATAGTAACAATAATGGTAGTAGTAGTAGTATTGTAGAAGTAGTAGTAGGTGAAAGACGAACAGGATAAAGACAAGAGAACAAAAAGACTAGTGCGACTTGTGAATGGTCAAGTCCGACCGAAACGTCGTCATAAGTTCCGCTCTCCTATGTGCGGGTTATTTATATTAGGGGACAAAGCTGGAGGGGGAATAATTTTGAGGTGACCAAGTAGTGGTGAGGTGAGATACCATGTCTGGTTTGTAGTAGACGTAGTCGAGATACCAGTCTGGCACCAGCCCGAAAAGGTGAGTGACTGGTGTGAAGGGGAAGAAGCGACCCCGTCCATAGCTGTCACGGGAATCACCAGCAACCACTCCGATGTTGTCCAAACACTTTCCTGCAACCAGTCACTGATTATAGTGCCGTTCAGACACTTTCATGCAACCAGCCACTGATTATAATGTCGTCCAGACACTTTCCTGCAACCAGTCACTGATTATAATGTCGTCCAGACGCTTTCCTGCAACCAGTCACTGATTATTAGGTCGTCCATACACTTTCCTGCAACCAGTCACTAATTATTACGTCGCCCATACACTTTCCTGCAACCAGTCACTGATTATAATGTCCAGACACTTTCCTGCAACCAGTCACTGATATAATCTTGTCCAGTTACCTTTCCTATAAACAGTTAATCACAGCACTGACTACACAATCACATCTATGCAACACCCTCTTACACCTTCTTCTGTTATTCCAATTGTTTTGTTCTTTATCATTTTATTCGCTTCTGTTACTCTCTGAATCATTCTTTAATATAATGTCATATTATGTACCATGTTGTACCATTGTGTACCATTCTGTACCATTCTGTACCATTCTGTACCATTCTGTACCATTCTGCACCATTCTGTACCATTCTACACCATTCTGCACCATTCTGCACCATTCTGCACCATTCTGCACCATTCTGCACCATTCTGCCCATTCTGCACCATTCTGTGTCAGTATATTATGGTTCTGAACCGTTTAATTGTTCTCTCTTATTTTCTCTAATGTTATCATCCGTTCTTCTTCACTCTGTTCATTCCTCATCTTCCCTCAAGCGGGTGTTGCCTCGATGCTGGGTAAAAGAGTTCAGGATCCAAGGAAATGGCGCTAACCTGCTCTTTTATCGGATCTTAATTACCTCCCACTTCCCAGACCATCTATGACCCCTATGGGTTTAACACTTCCCCATGAATAATATAGTATTAATATTGCTAATAATAGCTATATAATAAAATTATTATTATTATTATTATTATTATTATTATTATTATTATTATTATTATTATTTTATTGCTCTTAATAACAATATTAATACTATATTATAATAAATCATTTAATTATTATCAATAATATAGTATTAATATTATTAGTAATAGCAATAATATAATGTAGCGATAATACAGTATTAATATTGTCAATAATAATAATTTATCATTATTATAGTATTAATATTATTATTAATAGCAATAAAATAATATATTTCTGGTTTGAACATTTATATTGTGTTGTAATTGTAAATCACTTCACTGACCCAGTTCCGCGTCCTCGGCACCAGTGTTAGTATCTCCCTTACACAGCTTCTTGTTTGGTAACGACACTTCGATGAACTGCTTCAGTGCCTCTCTGCTGAGTACGTAGCCGCCTCCTGTGTCCTCAGACAGGAAATGAGGGAGGAAAGTAGAGTGTATAGGGGAGTACACGGGAGTACATGAATAGTACACGCTCTCACACACCTCCACTCACGCTGTTACTCTCACTCGCACTGTTAATTAACTCATACTCTCGTACTCTTGCACTCTCATACTCTCACGCACTCTTGCAGACTCTCACGCTTGTAGGTACGTTGGTCTACCAACGTACGTACAGGCACTCATTCTAAGTCACTCTCACACTTAAAAATACTCACCTGCACTCTGACTCATTTATACTGTCACCTACACTCTGACTCATTTATACTGTCACCTACACTCTGACTCATTTATATTGTCACCTACACTCTGACTCATTTATACTGTCACCTACACTCTGACTCATTTATACTGTCACCTACACTCTGACTCATTTATACTGTCACCTACACTCGACTCTTTATACTGTCACCTACACTCTGACTCATTTATGTACTACACTTGATTTTTGTCACACACTCTGATCATTATACTGTATACACTTGACATTTATCTGTACTACACTCTACTCATTTATACTGTCACAACTCTGACTCATTATACAGTCCTAACTCACCTCCATATGTAACTTTCTTAGTAAACAGTTTGAATCTTGATCAAAGTAATGGAAATGTTTGGGTCGTAGATGCAATTACGCAATCTATAGACAGCGTACTATGATAGACAGTTACAATAACAGGATTGTTGGTGATTGTGATAGCTTGCAGTAGATGACAGTGAAAAGGTCTTAGAAGTTGAGTAGGGTAGATAGGCGGGTTGATGACTAGAATTTGAGAATGAGGAAATATAGGTTTATGCACAGTTTCGGGAGTAGATATGATAATTCCCAAGAGGCCAGAAATCGGTGACCCTGATGAAGGTAATGTAAGAAGCGGAGCCAAGAGCTGCGTCTCGACCCATGCAAACGCAACGGAGTGAGTAAAACTCAGTATGAACACATGGCGAATTGGTAGTGGCAGGTTGATGGATGGATTGGTAGTGACAGGCTGGTTGGTGGATGGATTGGTAGTGACAGGCGGGTTGGTGGATGGATTGGTAGTGACAGGCGGGTTGGTGGATGGATTGGTAGTGACAGGCGGGTTGGTGGATGGATTGGTAGTGACAGGCGGGTTGATGGATGGATTGGTAGTGACAGGGCTGATTGATGGATGGATTGGTAGTGACAGGCTGGTTAATGGATGGACAGGTGGTAGCTAATAGGTTAGCCTGCCACCACCTCATAAATCAACTTCATAGGTCTATTAGCATCATAAATTAATCCGCCTGCCACTTGGTGGCAGGCGGATTAATTTATGATGCTAATGGAAGGATAACTATTAATAACTGCTTCCTCTCAAAGTAGAACACTCAGTTATTTTTAACCAACTACCCTTCAAGAGGCGGACTGCCTTAAACTGGTCTAGACCATTAATCCAAGAAACTAGAACGATAATCCCCTTAGACCAAACCTGATTACTTCCCATTCCCCAGGAGATGTATAACAACTATGATGATAATGTTAAACTACATAATTATACCAGGAGGCTGTGTTGAGAGGAACTCACGTGTCGTCATCAGCCTTGAAGAACCAGTCGTAGTCTTCAAGGTAGAGGTTGTAGGCGTGGGTCAAGGCTGCCTTGGTTTTTCCCCATAGGACCTGTCTTCCCTCACCGACACCCACATCGATGGCTCCAAGTTCAGTGTCTGAGAATGTGAGTGTCCCTCATCACGACCCCCACTTGTGTCCACCACTAAAACTGTCACCAACACAACCATCATTGTCACCCACCTCCATGGGTGTAAACTCATTGTACGTGGGATTGAATACACATCATCGCAATCACGCTTGCCTACCACTATCACCACCAGAGTCTACATTAACACCCACAGTGACAGACCCGAGCTCATTGTCTGAGGTTTAAGCTATCTTAACCACTAAAAATTAGATCCAAAACACTGTGGCTAGACAATTCACAGTAGCCTCACACCCTAAAATGAAAAATAACGTTTCAGCTCAGACTGAACCATTATTAAGCCCTGAATAGGGAAATGGGAGCAAACCAGAAAACAATTCAGGTCACTGAGAGCTAGGAAGACAGCCATGTATTTAAAAATTAGAGCTTTCGAATATGTATCTAGAGAAGCTTCACGTATTAAGATGAAGTATGTCGTAGCTGACGGTACGGTAAAAGGAAAGTTTTATTAGCTCTACGTTTCGAGTAGCTGAAACGTCCTAGTAATAAAGGTCATTTTTGCTATACCTTCCTTGGGATGTCGTGTATATTTACAGAGTAAACACAACTGTGTCTGTCACTTTTACGACTCACTCACCGCGAGTTCAATCCCCGCCCGTGGTATGGTTTGTGTCTGTGAGGGCTAGATATAGTATTAGAAGCTATACATTATTAGAGCGCCAGAATTTAGATTAATTTTAATTCTTAACATTGACAGGAGAGAGCATTATTGATATTAAAAAAAAGAATAATTAACATTTAATTAAATTCTGGACCAAAAGTATAACACTACTAAGTTTGAATTTGAATCCAATATTAGCCAAGACTATCAAAATGATGATTAATATAAATACTAAATTTGATCTCTCCCAATATTTCCCAAAATTAAACTGACAATTATGGGATAAAATTTTTGTGCATTGTTAGAATAATAAATTGTAGCGAATCATCAGCATATTGATATATATTAGGTAAGGTTTGTCAGGAAAGTGGACAAGTGTTTCCTGACGCGGGTTTTAGTTACATGATGACCCGCATCTGGAGCATTTGGCCATCTGACCGAGGCCTTCCGCTGGCTAACCGGTCTATTCTTTTAAAAATTAAGGTTATAATTGTAACCTCCAATGTTACTTATATTGATATAGATAAATGAGAGTCGCAGGATAAATAGACTGCGAGTTTAATCTATGTTTTACGGATTCAAGTGTTTTTGACTGGTGGTGAAGAGGTGACATGCAGTTTTAATGACCGTCATGTACTCAATAGGCTTTAAACCATCCTTCCCCCCTATTTAACCATTCTCCCCCCCCCCATTAAAGAGGCAACCACGAGAGCCACTAACCATTCTTTGAGCTGATAAAAATAAGTTTGTCACAGCGTGAACCCCAGGTGGCCCTGACGTGCACTGCCTTGCTCAAGTGTGAGGTTGGCGTGGTCAGCACCCAGCACAGCACCCGAACCTCCTGCACCTCCTGCCGTGCCTCAGTAATCTCATCTGTGCACACCACGCGCGCACACAAACGTGCACAAATACAAAAAAAATCAGAAATTAAAAAATAATATTAAAACATGTCATTAAATAAGCAGTTTAACATATTTGCAATTATAAATTTTCATAATGTAATTTTTTTTGGCAAGTAAATGTATAAACCGTTTTTTCCACAGCAGAGAGTTAATTACATCAAGTTTTTTGTTGAGTTTTTGTTAATGTAATCGGTAAGAGTGACCGAGTAGCGGCCAGTGAAGAGGCGGAGCCAGGAGCTATGGCTCGACCCCTGCAATTACAACTAGGTGAGTACCTGGGTGACTGTGGGTGTCCAGAGGGAAGGAAGGTATCTGTTCCCCCTCCAGGTCAGCGTGGGTCAGCGGCTCTCTGGGTGAGGGGAGACAAGATGGAAGGAGGGAAAGAAAAAGGAGGAACAAGGGAGGATGAGGAAGGGGGGAAAGGGAGTGGATGGGGGAAAAGAAGGATAATAGGAAAATGAAGAAAGGAAGGAAGAAGGAAAAAGATAAGGAAGAGCATTAACAAGGAGAGGAAGAGAAAAAAAGAAAGATGTGGGCGTGAAGGAAAGGGAAAGAGAAGATGATTAGCCAGTTTTATCTCCAAACTTTGGTAAACAAAATTATTTTCAACATTTTCGAATAATTAAATTTGACTAAATAAAATTTTGACCAGTGACAGAAATTTAAGACATTTATTCCCGTTAATTCTATTAAAACACGATCATGAAAAATAATAATACTGAGTTTTCTCTAAATACGTTATATATATATATATATATTAGATTCCAGTCAGATTAGGAAGTATTGGTGTCTGGAAGGCATCACAGATGGCACTACCTGTTTTCCTATCCTCTTGTGTTGCATCCAGTGGACCTGTAGCAGGACGGAGACACACTCAGGGATAATCTAACGGGATCTGAAACCAAACCTAATCTTCCCCAACAACTAGTCACACTGGGATGATCCAATAGTGGAGAATACAGCCTCAACAGTGCTTCAGTGTGTCAAGGAAGGACAGAGCCCTCGTCCTTGTAACAGTGAGAGCTACTCATGCAGGGGACTTCCTGTTGGCTGTCCCCAACCCCTCCCTTGGCACACATCTCGACACACAGGCCATCCCCATCGGTGTTGCCCTTTGCCTTGCCGCCCCCTATTCTCGCCGAACATCGGTGTATTTGCGGCAGTTAATCGGAAGACAGATTTGTGTCTCATGGTCTTGATAGCCGTAGATCCGAGGGAAGGATGGCAGAGCATGAAGAGGCTAACAAGATCATCAAGGGGAGCCTCACAACAGCCAGATGCCCACCAATAAGGGAGCCACCTCAAATGGTAGCTGATGGCAGCCAAAAGCGTCTAGATGACATCGCCCTTAAGCCTGACACACGGCAAGCAGGTAGTGTGGGACTAAACATGTGCATCCACATTGGCTGATAGCTAATTCCAATACATCAGAGAAGAAGGGGGCAGCTAACAGCTTCAGGGGGTCCCAAAAGTCTAGATAATACAGTGAACTTGCCCATCATTATATATTTGTTCGCATAGGCTCAGAGACCCTTGGCCCATGCGGAAACAGTGAATGCAAGTTCCTTAAGAAGCTAAGCAAAAGACTCATCAGGGATACTAGGATTCCCAGGATGGCTAGTTTTCTGTTCCAGCGACTCAGCCCTGTGGTACAGAGGGGTAATGCCTACTGTATCCTGGGTACACGCCCCAACTCTGCAGAACTGAATGAGATTTTCGCATTGTAATCTGTGACAAACATGTAGCAATATGTACTTGAAATGTATCCCTCAAACCTCATGTACTGTATATGCCATCTTTGTACCAGCCGCGGGGGCGTTGATCCCCGGAATAACCTCCAGGTAACCTCCAGGTATGTATTTTTTAAGTCTTGTGTACTATATTATGTAATATACCTATTAGTAAAAAACAAAAGATGGGGTGATAGGGGAAGTGGAATATTCAAATGGCTTAAGGAAGAATTTCAAATATTTTTTTTCGAAGCATTTTTACCCACTCCGAGGCTATGGGTCCCACAATTGAGTTATATATACATATATGTGTTGTGATGCAGTTCAGATGGGCTTGTGAGGTCTCTAGGGAGACTTAATTATATGGTCACACCTGCCTTGGCAAATGTCGGGTAGTCACGCCCACGTCTGAGGTCTTTTGTTCTTGACGGCGTCAGACCTCGGCGTCAGGTCGTAACACGTGGTGCACACCCAATTGTGGAGAGGTACTTTGACCACCATATAAGCTCAGGGAACAGCTGAGCAAGGAGGTTGTTGGTGACAGATCCGGGGGAGCGAGAGCTCTGGACAGCCGCGTGTGTAGTGGACCACGCATTGGGAATCTCGGTCAGCAGGTCGGTGAATTAAGAGTGAGTACTAGTCTGTGTTACTGATAACATCTACCTTCCCCCTGGTAATAAGTCTCGTAGCTCAATTGTTATATTATGTAAATGTTCATCAGGATATGTTGTATTTTAGCCCTTTTATGTTATTAAGTAAACTATAGCCATAGTTCCCATTTTTATTTGTACCTCCATATGCTATTCCCTATTCTGTTAAGCACTGAGATAACACAGGAGACGTGCTCACTTGCTGGGAATACCTCAGGCAGAGTGAATAAAGGTCTGTGTGTGTGTGTGTGTGTGTGTGTGTGTGTGTGTGTGTGTGTGTGTGTGTGTGTGTGTGTGTGTGTGTGTGTGTGCGTGTGTGTGTTTTGGGGTTTTCGATAACTCAGTCCCCATGGCATCCACCGCAGCCAAGTCATTAAAAATAGAAACCTAAGAGACGAAAATATACGACGCCTCGATCCATCCTTGACTCATTATCAAGTCACAAACTTTGTCACAGGCTTCCTTGATTTCAAGAACAGGTTTTAGGCGATACAGCATTCCGAAATTTTAACTAATCCGTAATAAAACCCCGTTGAGAGTGATAAAATCCCTCACAGTGGGTGTAGAGTTCCTTTTAAAAACAATATTGAGTACACATTATGGTCTACCAACCTTCTGTCGTTGTCGAGAGGGGGTACGATATCCAGGGATGACAGCAACGCTCCCAGCATCATGGAGATCACTATGAGCAGCGCCGTTTTCAGTGATGTCTCTACAGGAAGGCCACGACAGAGAGGATGTTGAAAACGACTCGTGTCATAGAAACAAATATAAATAACATGAAGTTCACACAAGAATTACAGTTCATAGCGAAGTGTTGTACTGCTCTTTCTTCTGAATATAATAATAATAATAATAATAATAATAATAATAATAATAATACTAAAATAATAATAATACCAGTATGTATATATATTATTTGCTTACCAGAGCTATAGATAATTAACCAAGTCTACATAGTCTAACTGAAGATTTATGTCCATTTAGTCTACTCAATCTTGTCTACAAGTGGATTCTTATATTTGTCTATTTTCTCGTAATTTAAGAACATAACGAAGGAACACTGCAGCAGGCCTATTGGCCCATGCGAGGCAGGTCCAAGTCTTCTACCGGCTTAAGCCAATGCACCCAACCTAGTCAGGTCAGGTCACATTGACTTAAGGGAGGAACATGGCAACCGACCTGGTAGCACAAGCTATCAGGTCCAACTCACACCCACCCACATCCACTCATGTATTTATCCAACCTGATGTGTACTTAGCTCAGTGAGGACGTATCGAGTGTGCTCTCTACGGACTGAACCAAGATGCCCTCCATCGAGCAACTTTACCAACAGCTTAAAGAAGAATTGAGGATGGCGAAGATGGAGATTCGGCGACTGACTGAGGAAAACAAGAAGATTCGTAGTAGTCCTCCTGTTTTGAGTCCTCAGGTCAAGAAGGGAAACTGGTCAGTGGCTGGACAGCAAGGAACGAAGTTGACGATCAAGAAGACGAATGGAAAGGTGGAAACGATAAAGAAGAAAGAGACTGCTGTGGAAACTGTTGTGGAAACATCTAATACATTCTCAGTGCTACCCGACGAATGTGAGTCGACTACTGGGAACGTCACGACGAACGACACCAAGGAAGGTGTCGTGACAGTGGTGACGTGTACTAAGCTCTGTGAAGACCTGTTTGTGTGCTCTCTGTGAATCTGAACCAGGATGCCCTCTCTTGAGCAACTTTACCAGCAGCTGAGAGAAGAGCTCAGAGTTGCTAAGCTGGAGATACGGCGATTAACGGAGGAGAACAAGAGGATTCGCAGTAATCCTCCTGTTGTGAGTCGCCAGGTTAAGAGGGGAGCTTGGTCAGTGGCCGGGCAACATGCAACCAAGCTGAGGATCAAGAAAACGGTTGGAGAGGCAGAAACAACGAGAAACCAGAAGACTACCGTGGAAATTTCCAACCCATTCTCCATGCTACCTGACGAATGTGAGTGTTCTACTGGGAATGCCACAACGAGCACCAAGGAAGCATTGGCAGACGTGAGTGAGACATCCCTAGAAACCCCAACGAAGACCATCGAGAACGTCTTGAAGAATTCCACAAGTGGTGTAATGCTACCTGACGAATGTGAGTCGACTACTGGGAGCATCACGACGGACGACACCAAGGATGGTAAAAATATTGTTGTTGTTGGGGATAGCTAGATTAGGTACATGGATAGGGCATTCTGCTTGAAGGATAGGAGTAGGAGGCAGAGAGTGTGTTTTCCTGGGGCTGGGATGAAGGATATTGTTAGTCGTCTGGATGACATGAGAGGTAATGGGAGCAATCCTATTATCTGTCTCAGTGCTGGAGGCAACGATGTTGGCAGACGTAGGAGTGAGGACCTGATTAGCAGGTATAGGTCAGCAATAGAGATAATTAGGAGGAAGGGTGGGAAACCTGTCATATGTGGCATTTTGCCAAGGAGAGGAGTTGGAAATGAATGGTTGTCCAGAGCAATTGGCGTCAATTGCTGGCTGGACAAATACTGTAAGGAAAATGCGGTAACATTCATTGACAACTGGGACCTCTTCTATGGCAGTAATGACATGTATGCCAGGGATGGGGTTCACTTATCTAGGTGTGGGGTGGGAGCACTGGCCAACGCAGTGGGGGGAGCTGTTAGGTCTTTAAACTAGAAATAGTGGTAAGGGTTTTGTCAGGAAAACAGTGAAGTCCCAGTGTAGTAATATTATGAGTTCTAGGGAAAATAGTAATAAGCAGAACGAGGTAGGTATTGAAAAGCCAGTGACACTAGGTGATAAGGACAGTAATAGGTTTTGTAGAAAAACAGAAATGAGCAGGAAGGGTAAAGAGAAAGGAGAGTCTTTCAATGTTTATTATGCTAATAGCCGTAGTGCTAGGAATAAGATGGACGAGTTGAGATTAGTTGCTAGTGCAGGTAACATTGATGTATTTGCCTTAACTGAGACATGGTTTAATTCAAAAAGTCGGGACATGCCTACGGAATGTCACATTCAGGGTTTTAAATTGTTCCAAGTAGACAGAAGTATCGGGAAGGGGGGTGGGGTGGCATTGTATGTCCGAGATCGCTTGAACTGTTGCATAAAAACGGATATTAAGTCTGAAGTAACACATACTGAAGTCCATATACACAGTATCATATTCATTACCATGATCTACCTCCTCAAATACCTTAGTGAAAAAAGTTAATAAATTCGTAAGGCAGGAACGCCCCTTTGTAAAACCATGCTGAGATTCGTTGATTAATTTATGCTTTTCAAGGTGGCTACGAACTGCCTCGGCAATTATTGATTCCACAAATTTTCCCACAATCTCTAGCCTTTGTAGTACTTGACCTCACACCCTCCAGTCTGTGTAGTACTTGACCTCACAACCTCCAGTCTGTGTAGTACTTGACCTCACAATCTCCAGTCTGTGTAGAACTTGACCTCACAACCTCCAGTCTGTGTAGTACTTGACCTCACAACCTCCAGTCTGTGTAGAACTTGACCTCGCAACCTCCAGTCTGTGTAGTACTTGACCTCACAACCTCCAGTCTGTGTAGTACTTGATCTCACAACCTCCAGTCTGTGTAGTACTTGACCTCACAACCTCCAGTCTGTGTAGAACTTGACCTCACAAACCTCCAGTCTGTGTAGTACTTGACCTCACAACCTCCAGTCTGTGTAGAACTTGACCTCGCAACCTCCAGTCTGTGTAGAACTTGACCTCGCAACCTCCAGTCTGTGTAGTACTTGACCTCACAACCTCCAGTCTGTGTAGTACTTGACCTCACACCCTCCAGTCTGTGTAGTACTTGACCTCACAGCCTCCAGTCTGTGTAGTACTTGACCTCACAACCTCCAGTCTGTGTAGAACTTGACCTCACAACCTCCAGTCTGTGTAGAACTTGACCTCACAACCTCCAGTCTGTGTAGAACTTGACCTCACAACCTCCAGTCTGTGTAGAACTTCACCTCGCAACCTCCAGTCTGTGTAGTACTTGACCTCACAACCTCCAGTCTGTGTAGTACTTGATCTCACAACCTCCAGTCTGTGTAGTACTTGACCTCACAACCTCCAGTCTGT